GCACTTGTCCGTAAAGCACATCCAGAGCCGTAAAGCATAGCACTACCAGCTAACTTCTGATTGGTTCCTTGCCATGAGGCAGGCATCTGACCTCCTAGTGACCAAGGTAAGGTCAGGCAAGCATGTGTTAGGCTGTTATGGCTGTGGAAATGGGGACCTGGTTTCTTCAGATTGAGTCTGTGTTTTTTCCTGGTGGTCTTTAGCTCTATGACATATAATGAAGGCTTCATTCTGGAAACAAAATGTTTAAAATGTATCTGCTATGTGAGAGCCAAAGTTACATTTTAGGTTTTAATTGCTATGCCCAAGAGAACCATGAAACAAAAATGCCTCTGATCTGCAAACTTCTTGCTCAAGGACAGATAGTTCCTGAAACACTGGAGGCTATTGTTTATGGCAGATAACAAGCCACATGCTTTCACTCCCCTAAACAAGTTTGTTGGATCCATTTGTATCAGATGTACTTGATCACACAAGGGCAGGAAGTTCCCAGGCAGGAAATACATCAGGATGTAAGCTTGCCCCTGATTGGATGTAGGCTGGAGGTACACCAGGATGTATGCTTGCCCCTGATTGGACCTGATGGGAAATGCAATGAATTGTGGGTTTTCCTTCTTAACCCCTTGCCATACTTGATTCTAGTGTTTTCCAGGAACCTGAGTATGGACCTGGCCAGAACCCATCCACCTGGCCAGTATTTAATTAAAGCTTGCTTAAACTTTGGCTGTAAATTGTGGTAGTGGTCTTATCCTTGATTGGTGGGATTAACACTATCATTTAGTAGCTCCTTAAAGTCAAGTCTATCTGCCTTTGCTCATTCTCCAGGCTCACACTTGAGAAAGGCAAGAAAATTAAAACGTATGAGCCAAGCAAGGTTATTTAAATAGCTGGCACTGGAACCGACAGAAGATGGTAGGAATAAAAGAGACCCAAGTGAAGAGAACTAAATGAAATTGAGATCATAATCACACCAATAAAATTTAAATTTGTTGACTGAGAGAGAGATTTGCCATTCAGGTGAGTCAGGCTTGAAAGGACCGAGCAGATGCCATAATGGGCTGCTCAGTCTTCTCTCAGAGAGTAGGGCTCAGTTTCAGGTTCATGAGACTAAACAGGCAGTTTCTGAGAAGAGCCACAAATAAAGGACATCAATCTCCAGCATCCGACAACAAGGAGGAGGTCTGGTACATACAGTACTTGGCCAGGCCAGGCCTGAGCCAGCCTCCACAGCAGCTCAAGGACAGGGCCTGGGACTTACCCAGGCGTGCCCCAAAAATAGAAAACTATAGCCCTGACCAGCCCCTGACTAGAACCTGACTAACCCCAGCCAATTAGAACTTGCTAATATGATTGTCATTTGCTTAAGCCAATCATATAAAAATTGACCTAACTTCCTTAGACACTCCCCTCAGTAAGGCTTAAAAGAAGCCCCACCTCTTTCTTGGGGTCATGGCCATCTTGCCTTGGTGTAGGGTGATCAGTCCCAGCCTGTTGGAAAAATAAAAAAAGAAGAGAGAGATAGAAGGAGAGAGAGAGAGAGGGGGGGGGGATGTGTGTGTGTTGTATGTGAATGTGTACATGTATGTGAATGTGTTTGTATGGTTATATATGTATGTTCTGGGGCGACCACCGCAAAAGTGGGCGCGGGATCTCGGGCCAATTCCTGAACAGCTGCTGAACAGCTGATAGGGAACAGAATCGAACATGGGATATGGTTATTAAATGGTAGATTTATTGAGAAGGAATACTCACTGGAGAAATCCCCGAAAGAGAGCCAGAGCCTCCTCCTCAGTCCTTTTATCCCATCCCTTCTGTATACCTGTGACCACGCCCAAACAGGCAGGGTCAGCGCTACAGGTATGTGGGAATTCTCCCTACATGTATGTGTTGTATGTAAGTGTGTACATTTGTGTGACTGTGCAAAAGCATATCATTGACAGTCTATTGATTATAATCTCCATTGAAATTCTTCAGATGCTTTTCTCCTTGTTAACTTTGGTACCTTCACCATGGATTCCAGGATAGAAACATTTGCAGACAGACTGCCTGCAATTGTCCTCCAGCTGGCCCAGATAGTAGAAAGTTTGGAGGAAATTGGGACTAAATTCCCTCCCTCTGAATTAGCAGACAGACAGACAGACAGACCACACATATACACTGTGCCTTTTGAGTTCCAGCTCACATTGATAGATGGGGCTGACACATGATAGTGTTACTGGTGTAATAGGACAAACAGCCCAGTTTTAGGAGTCATAATAAGCAAACTAAGGAAGACACAGTCATGGTGAAATACAGAAATGGAGGTTTAATCAACGCAGCCACACAGGGGACAGGAACAGAAAAGGGACTCCAGTGACCTCAAGTTCCTCTTCAGGAGGCTGAAATGAACCCTGTTGAAACAGACAGAGGTCAAGGGGTCCACATAGTTGATCAGTTCTGGTCTAGGAGAATCTGGTTGATCTTTATCTCCAGTCTGCTTCTGAAAGTTGCCTCAATAAAGTCCTCATTGCTTTGGGCATGTAGCTTCTGTTTCAGCTCCAACTGTTTCAGCTCTGGGTGCAGCCTTGAAGCCAGAAAGAACTGCATGCTCTGTCTTCTGAGTCTCAAGATTGGTTGGGGGTGGTTTTAATCACTTGTCATAAAGATGTTTAGCCATCTTGTTTCTGGAATCCAAGGTAACTGCAGGCTTGACGTAGTGACTAAAGGCCATCAGGGGCCTTTTGGAGTTCCAGAGCAGGGCATCCTAAAAGGCTGGCAGCAAGTGCCTGCAGCTGATACAGCTGGAAGCCACCACCATGAAGTGCTCCTTGTGTTCTGTTTCACTGACTCTCTACTGTGTAAGTTCCTGGAGATAACCAATTGCACCACTGGAGTTCCTGAAGTCTCTATTGTATAGAGGACCTGTGCTCCTCAGTGTGGTTGACAGGAAGGTTTTTATTGTAGATATGAGGAAGAGAACAGCCAGAGGTATCCAGAGGAGCCCAGAGGAAGAAATAAATAGTATAATAAACATGGACACCAGACTGGACCTAGCCATGAAGGAAGCAGGAGCCGAGCAGAGAGATAGAGAGTGCAGGAGAGCAGAGAGGGAGGAAGGAGTGAGGAAGAAAGAGTACGACAGAGAGAATGTGTGTATAAGAGAGAGCATAGCTGAAAAGCCAGGGTTTAAGGAGACTAAGCAAGTAGCTGGAGTGAGGGAAACTCCTGAGCTGGAGGGAATTTAGGGTAAGTGGGAGAGAGAAAAAGAGCTGAGAACAGTCAGGCTGCCAGCATGGACTTTGAAATGTGATACTGAGGGAGCCTGGAGGCCAGTGTGTACTTTGGTATACTCATAGGTACCACAGATAGCCATTTGTCCCTTCTGCCTTTTGGAATTTGGGGAAATGGAATTTCCTTTGGACATGACAGCAACAATATCTTTGGTTCAGCTAGAGTAACTGCTGCCTCTTGTTTTTTTTATGTCTTATTTTTGGGTGTCTCTTGGTCAGTTCCTCGCACAGATAACTCTATGTTCACCGTGAGCAAGGCCAGAGACCATCACTTGCAGAAAGAGCAGGAGTATCAGTCTAGAAAGCCCCTTCTGCTTAGAAGTATAGGTTCCTCCTGCTCTTGGGAAATGAGGAAGCCTGTAGAGCCCAGGCTCTAGCCCTCTTCCCATGCCCACTCCTTAGACAGCTATTCAAATGGCACTTGTGTTACAGATTGTAAAGATGAGATGCCATGGGGTCAAATGTGAAGTTCTCAATGATGGGACCACATTTATTATTTGCTTGGAAGCCAGCTGTGTGCTCACTGTGTGCGGCAAAAGCCATTTGGTATTAAGCTGGGGAAGAAGCTTGTGTGGCTTCCTGTGAGTATGGCTATGGTGGTGAGGCCAGATGGGAGGCCTCAGACTGCTCAGCCTCTCAGGCAGGAAGACAGAAGCTGAACGGTCCATCCACAGATCACTGTCATAGACCACAGTCATAGACCACTGTCGAGAGCAGCAGCTATCAGAGTACAGAGGAAACACAGTGTCGGAGTGGTAGGAGATGGGATTGTGAGATCAAAATGTGTCACTGCACCCCAGTACATGTGTGGGTCACTGCTTTCAAGTAGTGTCTTGCTTTGGGTTACTACCTTTTAGAAAACAGTGGTTGGATCCATGTTAGTTGCAACATCTGAGACAGAATGACTCTGTCTTGTCTATGTTCATAGATACCACATTGTTTCTGTATCTCGTGCTGGCCTTCCCTCAACTCCAAGGTCCATCATGTTACAAGCCTGTAATCCCTGCACTTAGGAGATAGAGGCAGGTAAATCAGAGGTTCAAGATTACACCCAGCTACAAAGCACATTCAAGTTATCCTCAGCTTTGTGAGTCCCTGTACGTACACACACACAAGCACACACACACACACACACACACACACACACACACACACTCACACACACACACCACACACACTCACACACACACTCACACACACATATGTGGGGGTGGAAAATGACAGAGAGAGAGAAAGAGAGGGAGGGAGAGAGATACAGAAACAGAGAAAGACAGAGAGACAGAGAAACAATGAGAGACAGAAATCTGAAAATAAAAGAAAAACAAAAAAAAACCAACTAACCAAAAAATTCTGACAAATTATTAGAGAAGATACAGTATTCTATCCTTAATTATTCTGAGAGACTTGTAACATGAAAACCATTACTAAGGATCATCATGATCAACAATGGGGGTACTATGGCAGGAGACAGAGACTGGTGCCCAATTCACAGTATAGCATGTAATCTATAGCCGAAGAGAGATTGGATGGTGTGGTAGGTGGAAAATTACTGGGAGCAAACACCAGAGGTGATGGGCAATTCTTGGCTTTTGCTGAGGATGGGTCAGGGTGAGCAGATGCTGTCTGGGAAGACATGGTGGCTGATTAGATATCAAGACTGAGCAGGTATTGAAGGGGGGTTAGTTAGCTAACAAAAATTCTTGCAAAAACTAGATTTTACAGGTGGGCATGATGGCTCTTGACTGTCAACAACGGAAGGTAGGGGCAGGAGATCAGAGTTTGAAGCTATTCTAGTCTATATAATGAGACTTTATTTCAAAACAAAACAACAAAAATATGGATTTTTTTTTTTTACCAAGAAGTACATAGATAAGTTTTGAAGACTGACTGGAGTTGGAATCAGCAGAGAATCTCTATCAGGTACCATTCCTATGGAGGGGGATTCCATAACTAACCGAAAGACCCATGTCTTTGTCGTTGTACGCCAATTGCCTTTTTAGGAATTTAGTTCATTCCAGGATACTTTTCCTTCTCAGAACTCACTTAATTGGAAGCACATATTGACACCCACTTGGATGACTATGTGAAGCAACACTTGGCTAGAAGTTAGTTATGATGACATTTGAAATGATCTAAAATGTAGGCATCGCTCAAAATGCACACAAAGGAATTTATGGAAGCCAGAAAAGGAAGTACGAGAGTTCTGTGCAGGATTTTAGAGAGACTACCAAAACATTTTAAATAGCAGCTTGTAGATCTATGGTAGAGAACAGAGAGGATGCTACCCTTTGATGATAAGGAGGAAGTTAGAGCTATACAGAGAATCCTAATGTCCATATGTACATAGACTTTACACACTGCAAACAGGGGGAGGAGCTGCCAATGTCAGGCTTTCTGAGAGGCGGGGTCTGGAATGAGAGGAGTGGGGCTGGGTGGAGCTTCCTGACATAGGTAACCACCAACCATACAATTTTTTGTTGCCATTTCATAACTGTAATCTTGCTACTGTTATGAATCATAGTGTAAATATCTGATATGTAGGATATCTGGTCTGTGACCACTGTGGGGGTAGCAACCCACAAGTTGATAACCACTGCACTTGAGTACTGCCACACTTGGGTGTTGAACCATTGCATTGTGCTGGGACCTCTGGATCCTGTGCTGAGGTCAATGACAAGGAGATCATCACAGTATCCCAGGGCTGTACTGATGGCAGTGGCAGTTTAAAAAGAAGTCATATTTTGATCATATTTCAAAGAATAGATGATAAAATATGGTAATGAGGCAGATGCAGGGTGTGAGAAAGAAATGATATCTGTATATCAGATATTTACATTATAATGTCACACGTTTTTTGTTGCATGAGATGATCAAAGAAAAAAGATCACTCCAAGATGAATTTTAGGCCTTGGCAGCAGGGAGGAACAGCCTCTGATGGACTGAACCTCAAACAGCTGTTCAAAGGCATATTTATTGATGGTTATACAAAGTTGATTTTGTGATAAACAAGTTCTTCATACCAAAGTCCCTGATGTAATCTATATGTTTTTCTGAAGGAAAAACGTCATACCCCTACCCCTTTAGTATTTATTGTGTACTGTTTGCAGTGCCCAATGATCCAAGAGCTCCATTCCAGGTGTGCCAGGACTGTCTTGTGATGAAAGTTATGCAAAGGCTGTAAAGCTGCTTCAGAAAAACAACTTTATAAATCACAGAAAACAATCCCTGATTTCCATCATGATTTCTCCTAGATCAAAGTACTTCTATAAAACAACTATTCATCATGATATTTACTTTAGATACAGTGAACAACAACTATTCTGTTCTAACGTTTATTTTTGATACAGTGACTCTGATAGATTCCTACAACAGACAGGTGTGACAACTGGGAGTATGAGGGCCGGTGTGTTAGTTTAAATAAGAATGGCCTCCGCAGAGTCATACTTGAATGTTGTGTCACTAAGAGGTGTGACCTTGTTGGAGTAGGTGTGACCTTGACAGAAGTGTGTCACTGGGGTTTCAGGCCCAGTGGCACTCTCTCTTCCTGTTGCCTGCTGATCCAGATGTAGAAGTCTCCACTTCTTCTATAGCACCATGTCTGCTGCACACCTACATGCTTCCTGTAAAGACCCAGTTAAATGTTTTCCTTTATAAGAGTTGCTGTGGTCATGGTGTCTCCTCACAGAAATAGAACACTGACTAAGACAGACAATAGTTGTAAGGTGGATCAAATTTGCCAAGGAAAATATGGAGCTCATGGTTTGGTTACATCTTAAGTCAGGGCTTTCTTTCTCAGTGAAAAAGTCAAACAGAAAGTAAAATGTATGTTTAGAGTCTTAGGGAGAAGCCCGGGTTAAAACAGTGAATTTGGGAATTATGTTTAAAGTCTTGAGAATAAATGAGATTACCAGTAGAGAAGAATTGTTGGCCCAGCACATCACACTTGTTTGGGGACTGGGCCAGTCATCTCTCTGACACTGTATTAACAGATATGGAGATAATCAACTTAAGATGAGAAAAGGTTCATTTGACACATTTTTAGGGGTTCCACTTCCTGATGAGATGAATCCAGGATTTAGGCCTATTATGGGGGTTCTGACTGGGAAGTGGGATCAGATGGGGAGCAAAATGGTTCACCTCAAGGCCAGAAAATGAAGGAAAGGAAAAAGGCCAGGGTCCTGCAATCCCTTTCAAGGGCATATCCCAATGACCTAAACATCCCCTACCAGGCCCCAAATCTTAAAGATGCTACTCCCTCCCAAAACTCTATTCTGAGGACCAAGATTTAAAAAGTTGGCCTTTAAGGCACATGTAAGTTCTAAATTACTCCAGAGGTTTGAGGGGCTGATGGAATGTTCTGGAAGTTTAATCAAAGTGGGGCTGATGGAATGTTCTGGAAGTTTAATCAAAGTGCTGTTAGAGACAGAGTGGCTGACTTTGTTGTTCAAAGTATCCCCTGTGTCTTGTTTTGACTTGAAATTTATCCATCCTTCACAGAATGAAGAGAAACCTGTGCAAATGATGTTAAAGGAGTCTACTTTTAAAATGACCTATGTGGAAGAGAGATCCACCACAGTTCTGTTGCTTCCCTATGTTGGCAATGAGCTGAACATGGTCATCATGCTTCCAGATGAGCACATTGACTTGAGAACGGTAAGGATCATGAGACCTTTATGGAGCTGTGAGAGAGAAATTGAGTGGCATTTGAGTTTCTGCAGGGGCAGCCTTCCTAGGCTCCCATGATCATGTTTTGTCTTTCACTTATTTGTGAGGCTGGGGTGGAACCCAGGTCCCAGAGCATGCTTGTCAAATGCTCATCACTGAGCTGCACCTTAGCCCCTCCCAGCTGCCATATTTCCCTTCAGTCACACTTCCCTCAGTAGAGCCTCCCCAGCATCTCAAGTGACCTGTGTGACAACATTGTTGTGAAGTCTTAGACTCTCTTCTAGGTGGAAAACTTATGAGAATTAATAGAGTGGACAAGGCTGGACAAGATGGATGAAGAAAAGGTGGAGGTTTTCCTCCCACAGTTTAAACTGGAGGAGAATTATGACATGAAGGACGTGCTGTGCAAGCTGGGCATGACTGATGCCTTTGAGGACAGGGCAGACTTTTCTGGAATGTCTTCTAAGCAAGGCCTGTTTCTGTCCAAGGTAGTGCACAAGTCCTTTGTGGAGGTCAACGAGGAGGGCACAGAGGCTGCAGCTGCCACAGCTGCCATTATCATGATGGTGGGTGGCATGTCTGTGCCGATCACCCCTTCCTTTTCTTCATTCAGCATGTTAAGACCAATGGGATTCTGTTCTGTGGCCGGTTCTCCTCTCCCTGAGGAAAGGGTGCTGCTGTGTCAGCCTTTGTCCATGCTTTGCCTGTGACACAAGTGACCTCATCAACAAGTACAATGGCAATTTTGAAATAAAGGGCTTTGTGGTAGCTTATCTTCAGAACTATGCACCTATCTCAGGGGAGCGCTTTTTCTAGGATCTGGATTTGCACTTCTGTGGGTTTGTGGTGTTGCTGGCTACAGAGCTCATCCCTGCTGGAGGGCCTTTTGGCTTCCTTCAGTCAGCCACGTCTCCTGACACAAGAGAAGTGTTGTCTTCATCTCTTCTCCACCAGCTGCATTGAGATCTCATCTAACTTCAGTGAGAGAATACATGTGGTGCAGGTCTCTCAGGGAAGCGACCATGAGGACAGCCTCAGGCAGTCTCTGTAGGCAGCTCAGGTTCCAAATGGGGGCAAGCAGAGGCACAGTGTGCTGGGACTCAGCTCAGTGAGAAAAGCTCCTCTTTCTCTCTGTTTGTGTTTTGGACATGGGCTGTGTCACAAATCTATGCAGGCAGATGCACACTGTAAGCTTGATTCCACAGGGCAGAGGCATGTGTAACATATCCTGGGGAGTGGCGGATCACAACTAGTGAGTTTCTGTTTCATTGTTAGTATTACAACTAAAAAAGTGCCTTAATGGGACAGGGCAATACAGTGCAGAGGTTCCTCCATCTTGTATTCTTGCTAAGGCGATTTTAGGCTTAACTAGAATTTGGTCTCCTTGATGGAGAATCCCATGGAAAATTACCCAACTCTATTCTAGGACCTGAGGCTGAAATGCCCCAAATAGCTCATCTTAGCTTTTGTTAAACTGCTTGCTTGTGCAACCATCCCCCCTGCTGTGTGAGATACCAGGATGTGGTTTTGGCCTTTAACATCCTCTTGGTCCAAATGCTGGGGGTCTACACTTAGGTGCCAAATACTAAGTGTAGTCTCAGACAGCTGGAATAAAGACTTTAAACTGAGTAGAAACTGCCTCTGAGTGGGCTCCCATAACGTGTTTTATTTTTTTTTAAGACATATTTTAACTTGCTGGAAATACAGTCACAACATTCATCAACTTGCTGTTCCAACCACCTTCTTCTGCATTGTGGACTCTAAACCTCTAGAGCAGTAAGCCTAAATAAACTCTTCCTTTTCGAAATTGCCTTGGCCATGGTGTTTTATCGCAGCAAGAGAAAAGGAGCTAATACACTCATACTTAAGTTACCTGTGGTGATATATTATTTATGATGTATTAAAGGTTGCCTGAGAGTACAGAAAGCAGTTAGTCACAAGTCACAGAGCCAGGCAGGGATGATATACACCTTTAATTCCAGCAGCCATATTAGCTAGACATAGAGCCAGGCAGTGGTGGCACATACCTTTAATCCCAGGACTCAAGAGACAAGCAGACAGATCTCTGTTAGTGGAAGGCCACATTGAGCTACATGAAATTGATCCAGTCCTAAAGAGAACCAGATCACACAAAGGTGATCTCAGCACTTGGGATCACAAGTCTTTAATCCCAGGATTTGAGAGGTATAAAAAGAAGAAGCAAAGTCAGTATTGAAGAATTAGTCTTTAACCTTGTTGAGGAGAGCATAGCAGTCTGAATGAATCTGAGGAGCAGTGAAGTCAGGAGCAGTTGGAGTGTTGCCTCTTTGGTCTGAGCTGAGGTAGAGGTAGGAGCTAATGGCTAGCTGCTTTGCTTCTCTGACTTCAGGAAGCTAGTCTCTGAGGCCTGGCTACTATGGAAGGACATGTGAACTGCATTTCCTACTTACTGCTTCTCTTGGGTCTGCTTATTAGTGTAATTCTTCTTTTTAGTTCTTTTTTTAGTTCTTGCTTCTTTAACCTTTTTTTTTTTTTTAGTTCAAATAAGGAACAAGCTTGCTTCACATGTCAATCCCTTCTCCCTCTCCCTCCCCTCCCCCCTAGTTCCCTACTAGTCTCCTACCCCATTTCCCCTCAGCTCCCCAAGGAGAGAAAGGCCCTACATGGGGGCTCCCCAAAGTCTACCACATCATCCTGGACTGGACCTGGGCCTTCCCCCATGTGTCCAGGTGGAGAGAGCATCCCTTCATGTGAGATGGGCTCTCAAAGTCCCTTCTTACAACAAGGAAAAATACTGATCCACTACCAGAGGGCCCATAGAGTGCTGAGGCCTCCTCATTGAAATCCACCCTCAGGGGTCTGGATCTTTCCTGTGCTGGACTCCCAGACAGCAGTCTGAGGTCCATGTGCTCCCCCTTGTTCAGGCTAGCTGTTTCTGTGGGTTTCACCAGCCTGACCCCTTTGATCTTCACTCCTCCCTTTCTGCAACTGGGATCCAGAGTTCAATTCAGTGTATAGCTGTGGGTATCAGCCTCTGCTTCCATCAGCCACTGGATGAGGGCTCCTCATGCTCCCAATTAGATCAGAACATCCTGCCCCTTCCCATTCCCCGGGATCCGTGCATTTTTCTCTTAGAGTCCTTCTTGTTTCCTAGTTCCCTTGGTGAAGAGGATTGTAGGTTGGTAATCCTTTGCTCTATGTCTAAAATTCATATATGAGTGAGTATATACCATGTTTGTCTTTTTGTGACTGGGTTGCCTCACTCAGGATGATTTTTTTCTAGTTCCATCCATTTGCCTGCAAATTTCAAGATTCCATTGCTTTTTTTCTGCTGAGTAGTACTCCATTGTGTAACTGTACCACATTTTCTCTATCCATTCTTCAGTTGAGGGGCATCTAGGTTGCTTCCAGGTTCTGGCTATTACAAACAATGCTGCTATGAACATGGGTGAGCATATGTCCTTGTTGTATGAATGTGCATTATTTGGTTATTTACCCATGAGAGGAATTTCTGGATCTTGAGTTAGACTGATTCCCATTTTCTGAGCAACCGCCATATTGACTTCCAAAGTGGTCTTACAAGTTTGCACTTCTACCAGCAATGGAGGAGTGTTCCTTTTTCTCACATCCTCTCCAGCATAGACTGTCATTAGTGTTTTTGATTTTAGCCATTCTGGTTGGCGTAAGATGGTATCTCAGAGTTGTTTTGAGTTGCATTTCTCTGATGGCTAAGGATTTTGAGCACTTTCTTAAGCATCTTTCAGCCATTTTAGATTCCTCTGTTGAGAATTCTCTACTTAGTTTTGGACCCCACTTTTTAATTTCATTGATTGGTGTTTTGGTAGCAAGCTTCTTGAGTTCATTGTATATTTTGGAAATCAGCCCTCTGTGAGATGTGGGGTTGGTGAAGATCTTTTCCCATTCTGTGAGCTGTTGTTTTGTCTTACTGACTGTGTCCTTTGCCTTACAGAAGCTTCTCAGTTTCAGGAGGTCCCATTTATTAATTGTAGATCTCAATGTCTGTGCTACTGGTGTTATGTTCAGGAAGCACTCTCCTGTACCAATTTGCTCAAGGGTATCTCCCACTTTCTCTTCTAGAAGGTTCAGTGTGGTTGGATTTATGTTGAGATCTTTGATCCATTTGGACTTAAGTTTTCTGCATGATGATATATATGGATCTATCTGCAATCATCTGCATGTCCGAATCCAGTCGTGCCAGCACCATTTGTTGAAGATGCTATTGTTTTTCCATTGTATAGATTTAGCTTCTTTGTCAAAAATCAGGTGTTCATGGGTGTGTGGGTTATATCAGGATTTTCAATTCGATTTCATTGGTCTATCTGTCTATTTTTGTGCCAATTCCAAGCTGTTTTCAGGACTATGGCTCTATATTAGAGCTTGAAGTCAGGGATGGTGATACCTCCAGAAGTTCCTTTATTATACAGGGTTGTTTTGGCTATCCTGGGTCTTTTGTTTTTCCTTATATAGTTGGGTATTGTTCTTTCAACATCTGTGAAGAGCTGTGTTGGGATTTTGATGGGTATTGCATTGAATCTGTAGATTGCTTTTGGCAAGATTGCCATTTTTATTATTTTGATCCTACCTATCCAAGAACATGGGAGATCTTTCCATTTTCTGGTATCTTCTTTAATTTCTTTCTTTAAAGGCTAAAAGTTCTTATTGTATAGGTCTTTCACTTTTTTGGTTACCATTACCACAAGATATTTTATGTTGTTTGTGCATATTGAGAAGGGTGATGTTTTTCTGATTTCTTTCTCATTGCATTTATCATCTGTATATAGTAGGGCTACTCATTTTTTTAGTTAATTTTGTATCCTGCTACCTTGCTGAAGGTTTTTATCAGCTGTAGGAGTCCCCTGGCAGAGTTTTTCAGGTCACTTATGTAGACTATCATATCATCTGCAAATAGCAAAAGTTTGACTTCTTCCTTTCCAATTTGTATCCCCTTGATCTCCTTTTCTTGTCTTATTGCTCTAGCTAGAACTTCAAGTACAATATTGAAGAGATATGGAGAAAGTGGGCAGCCTTGTCATGTTCCTGCTTTTAGAGGAATCGCTTTGAGTTTCTCTCCATCTAGTTTGATGTTGGCTGTTGGTTTGGTGTTTGCCTTTATTATGTTTAGAATTGTTCCTTGTATGTGGTGATACCTTGTTTGTACAAATAAAGTGTGTCTGGAGAACAGAGGGTGGAGTTTGCCACTAGCTAACCATAGAGGTATGTACAGACAGAAAGGAAGTGAGATGGCTGGGCAAAGAAAGGAATATAAGCAGGAGGAGAAAGGAATTCAGACACTTGATCACGGTGGATGATTTTTCTGATGTGTCCTTGGATTCCATTCGTCAATATTTTATTGAGTATTTTTGCATTGATGTTGATGAGGGATATTGGTCTGTAGTTCTCTTTTTTAATTGTATCTTTGTGTGGCTTGGGTATCAAAGTAATTGTAGCCTCGTAAAAAGAGTTTGGCAATGTCCCTTCTGTTTTTATTGTGTGGAAAAATTTGAGGAGTACTGGTATTAGCTCTTGTTTGAATTTCTGGTAGAAATTTGCAGTGAAGCTGTCTGGCCCTGGGCTTTTTTTTTTGGGGGGGGGGTTGATGACTGCTTCTATTTCATTAGGCGTTATAGCTCTATTTAAACTGCTTATCTGTTCTTGGTTTAATTTTGGTAAGTATATCGAGAGCCAATGTGTTGCATGTAAGGTTAAGATATCTTTATTCAGATAGACACCATCCAAAGGCAAGCCAGAGCATGCCAGGGACAGCAAGTCAGGCAGGCCAGAGAGAGGGCCCCCATGTGCCTTGCAGCCCCTTATAAAAACTTATCATGACCTCACCTTGACCACGCCCTGACAGGTGTCATCAGGCACACCTGTAGCCAGGCCTTAGGAGGCATGGTTATGGTGTCTCCCTACAGGTAAATGTTATCTATCCAGAAAATTGTCCATTCCCTTTAGATTTTTGAATTTTGTGGAGTACATGTTTTCAAAGTATGACCTGATGATTCTCTGGATATCCTCAGTGTCTATTGTTATATCCCCTTTTCATTCCTAATTTTGTTAATTAGCGCTAGTGCTGTCTATTTTGTTGATCTTCTCAAAGAACCAACTCTTTGTTTCATTGATTCTTTGTAATGTTTTCCTAGTTTCTACTTTATTAATTTCAGCCCTCAGTTTGATTATTTCCTGGCATCTACTCCTCCATGGTCAGTTTGCTTCTTTTTGTTCTAATGCTCTC